CTTGAGAAGATCTTACAGACATGACTTTGAAAACTATTATAACTTGCATTGAATGCTTTTCAGACACATATCTATCCTGAATGTGCATACAAACGGAAACAACTAAAGGACGTTAGGGGCATTTTTTTGTCACACAGCAATTACGAGAAGCACGCCGTGCTAGTGATTCATCGTAAGGGTTTCTGAAAACCTAACTGATACACCTAGAAGTTATGTAATCAAACCCTTAATCCAAATCTAGATTCTTCAAAGAATGAGGGATCGCCTCACCTCTCATTACCTCGACATATCTTTGCAACGCTGACACAAATATACTTACATTGTGTGCTGGAAGATGTTTTTCGAGCTTTCGTCCTTCTTGTCTGTTATTTTCAGACCTACTTCATGTATTGCAGGAATCTCGGTGATATCATATCGATAGAGAGTGGTAGCCTATGACACTCGCACAGCTCCGAAATTTTTAGTGCAAAGTTTGTTCCAGATTAGTCCAGAAAAGGAGTTTTCTATCCAGAACATACCCACGTGCAGAACAGAATCTATACGGAAACTGCTAACATGCAGACGTATTCAGCTGTATATCCTTTCCTATAATATAAACACAAGGCCAAAAAACGCGACGGCTAGAGCTTCGATCCTGTGTATGGCTACAACATTGTCTTGAATAGAGCCAGTCGCAGATACCGCCGCTGAATGTTGGGACAGGCGGCAGTGTAATAATAAAAGAAGAGGGCGCAGACATCGAAGCGCAACGACAGAGTACAACGACACGCAGTGTGCGCCCTGTTGCTGTCTTTGCTGCGTTGAAATATGCAAGCATGTGATGGTGAAGAAAGTCGATACAGCCACACCAGTTAACTCGTTCACAAACTCACTGCACTGTTCATCCCGGCTGTATATTTATTCCACTAAGAAGGTGAGTGAGCATGCTGAGTACGAGTATATTAGGTTGCAAAAAAAGTTCCCGGGTTCGAGCACATAAATCCTTTTTGAGAGCTGCAAACTTTGCCGCAAGGGCAATGTTATCTACAAGGCATGCTTACTTTATTGGGTCCGCACTTCATTTCGGGCCACGCAGTAGGGAAAAGGTCGACCTAAATCCGGCCTGTTAGCGCAGGGGTTCCTCAGGCACGAAGAAAACTGGAGAGCTCATACTCGGTGGTCATGTAGAACACCGCTGAGGCTGTCTATAGACTGTGCCATATCTTTATAACACAGCCTGTAAAAAATCATTTTACGAGAATTTGAAAAATCGGCCATTTTTGCACATTGAAAATGCATTTCTCAGGTAATATTCAAAGTCTTCCTTTTTTCCATGGAATAAAATGAAACTTTGATTGGCAAATATGTTAGATAATGCCTTGCACATCTTTTGGGCCCATCACCGAGGAATGAAGATCCTCACAAAATCGACGCCAACTGCGAAAACAGGTACAGTCAAAGGCGAGTTCGAGAGCTTGCAATTTCTGTGCGCGCATTGTATAATTCGAGCACAGCTGCGGTTTGTAGACACCCTCCTTATTCAAATCGACCTCCTCAAATGGTTTATTTCCTTCACTCCGAAAGCATGTTAGAAAAAGAAAAATTGTGAAGCTGTCATTGTTGCACAGAGATCCCTTTTATTACGGCTTGAGATCGATAGAAACTGGATGCGACTCTGAAACTCCGCTCCCCTATATGCTTCACGGTTGTGTTATGTGTTCTCTTAACATGTTAACAGGAGATTCTAGATAACGAGGGCAGTTCAGATTATGCTTCATGCGAAATATAACTGCGATACATGATTTGATAAGGATGTATAGAGAAATGCCGAGAGAGTGATTGCGCGCATGCACTCAATAGGGATCCATATGGTTTGCATGACAGCAATGTAAACTGTTGACGGTGTCCGTAGTCAGTTTCCAGACTGTGTGCACTCTAAGTGCAAATCATTGAGCTTGCTCTGCTTGGAAAGTGCAAATATGGGCATGTCGGCATCGTCGAAGATCACTCCGCAGTATAAAGAACATGCAGACAAGGGATCATGCGCGTGTCATGTACAAGCTCAAACAATGATTCAAAACTACCAAATTAGTACAAATGTCTGGCCCCCAGTTGCTATCATAGATTGGCAAACTGCCGCTCTACTTTGCTTCCTACTGTGCCCAATGCTTCTCACAATAAGAATTAGTTTTCGAGAAGAACGTTATGATTTTAAAAGCATTTTGAAGTCTACTGAATATAGGATAATATAATCTATCAGTATTACGGGAATTCGCTGAAACCTCACTTTTGGGTGCTTTTACTTTATGAAAACATTGCTTTTGCCTCTGGAAACAAAAAACCAGCAGGAGCTACAATTTGTTGCGAGGAAAGAATCAGAACTTCATGCGGCAGTATATTTCGCTCAGTTTCTAGGATTCAATGCTGGAACTTACAAAAACCTTCTAAAAACTTACTTTTGGGTTCTTCTACATTGTAAAAACATTGTTTTTGCCTTTAAAGGCAAGTGAGCAGAGGGAGCTCGGTCTGCTGGAAGAAGACTCAAGGGCTCCACAAGGGAACACATTTTTGCGAGCTAGGTGTTGATGTCAAATTTCAACGGCAACTTGCTGAACATTCGTTTTCGGCTGCTTCTACTTTGTGAACATTCTACTTTGTTAATGGAAACAACACAGTAAAAAGAGCTTGTCTCAAGGGAAGAAAAGTTTTAAGGGAAGAAAAGACTCAGTGAGCTTATGCGGCAGGACATTTTTGATATGATTATTTAGGTTTCAGCGCTGAATCTCACAAGAATTTGCTTGAAATCCGCCTTGGCCGCTTTTACTTTGCGAACTTCTGCTTTAAAAAGCAAAAAAAATCGAAGGGAGCTTGATCTCGAAGGAAGAGGAGTTCTAAGGGCTTCATACGGAGTGCATTTCTGCCAAGAATTTCTCATCAATGCTAAATCATACAAAAGCTCGCTTGAAATTTGCTTTTTGCCGCATCTACTTCGCAGAATTCCTGCGTCTGCTCCTAAATGCAGAAGAAGCAAGGGGAGCTTTTTCTTGAGGGAAGGAAGACCCAGAGGCTTCATGCGGCAAGACATTTTTGCTAAGACTGTTCGGGGGAAAGTGTTGAGTGAGCTTTGGTCTCGCTTTAAGAAATCTTTGCGAGACGTCTTAAGGAGAGTATAAGACTGTGCATGATCGCGAACGGTGTGTTTGCTGCCGTTGCACAGTTCCAGAGAGTCCACCTGAATTTCGGATTGAACCATCGATTCTACGTGGATGACTGCTTAGGCATTCCCAAGTTTAGGAACTGTGGTATCTGGGATAGAGTATCTCCAAAAAGAACAGCGTCAATGATTTGGGAATTACTCATTGTCAAAAGTTTCCTTGAGAGCACGATCTTGCTTCTACTACTACTTACATTGCGCCAAATAGAGAGAATGGGAGTTCAGTTTCTTGCTATTCTTAGTTGCATGCAGACAGTGATCAATATATCTGCCCCAGTTACTAGCGACCCATAGGGTCGATAGTAAAATAAACGCTTATAACTACAGCCATTACTTGCATTGATTTTATCAATCATTTTCGACCTCTGAGAAGGAGGTGAAGTTGACACATAAGTCACGGTAACTACAGATATGATTAACGTTCACAAAACTACCCACTTCTTTGATTGAATTTATCTATTATTTGCAATGAGCCAAGGGGGGAGGGATTGCGATAGGGGGCATGGATGTAGTTTGTTAGCATATTTATTACTTTTATCCATCTCTTCAAATTTTCAAGGCAGAGCTCAGCTTTGCCCATAATGGGCAGAAGATATGTTCAACAGCGTTATCTCCAGCTCTCGGAGCGAAGTTTGAGGAAATCCCTGAAAACTCAGGATAGCGATTGCTCTGCAGAAATTCCATTTTCCTCTTGATAAGTGAAGGGTGTAAGCAAGTATGGTAATGTGGGAGGAAAATCTACAGCGTTTTGAGTAGGGCACCATTTGAGGAAAGCAAGACTCATTTCTTGGGAAAATTTTTGAGAGAATCGGAAAATTCAGGAGAGCAATTGCTGTGCAGAATTTTGATTTTTCGATGACAAATGGAGGGTGTGAGAGCAATTTTGTGGGAGATTGTGGGAGGAACTTGTGCAACATTGCGCAGAGCGAACCCTAATTTAGGATCCACTTTCCGGCCAAATTTCTAGAAAAATTTCGAAGATCTTTCCTTGCGGCAACACATAGGCTAATGGAGTGAGAATTCACATGGCAATCTTTTATAGTCTCAAAACTGTTATCTATGGATTGTAGTGACCTGTAGTCGCTACTCTTATATATATATATATATAGTTGATTGTCTATTACGTTATGTATTGTGTGTCTGCCTGCCTGTACATATGTTCTAGATTGCAAATTCCAACTCTCAAACCACAGCAAACTTCGCACACATACATTTTGGGGTGGGACTGGGAGGGGGTGTCATACGCTGCTTTTCGTCATCAATTGATATCGATCCTGCCGATTTCTTGCGAACTTGGATCTACGGGGCTGGAGGTTGATGCAGGGGGAGGGGTAAGTGAGCATGCCGATTACGAAGCGCGGGTGGCAGCGAGATGGTAATGGAAGTGGAACAGGTTAAGAAATGTTGTGTAGAAGTAAGACAAAGTGGGTATTTCTATCTGCTTACGGATACCGAGCCAAGTCGGATCCAGCTAAGAGATTAAAAGATGTGCATTAGAAAGAAATACTATTCATGGAATCACGAGCTGCTTATGGTCACAAGATAAATCTAAGTTGCAGCAATGTACTGCACAAATGCTCATACAGTCTGCGTAAGTGGTATGACGTATATCCATAAGTGGTATGACGTACATGCCACTCATAATTACGTACAACACCAAATGCAGCAGCGTCACTGCTTTTCAAATCAAATTCAAACAATAAAATAATGCTAGTCATGAGATCTGATTATCTTCAAATCTTCAATACTCGCGGAAGTATGCCTTATAAAAGCAAATGGGGATAATGTTAGCCTTAGCACATTTTCAATGATATTCTACTATATGCTTATGGTAAGATATGATTTTGAGAGACCGTGATCAAAATGACATTTTTTAGCTGTTACCTGTCTATTGTGGTGCTTGCAGTAGTGTAAGCTCTCACTTATGGAAAGAGTACTTCACTCAGGGAATTCAAACGTACTGCGAAAAGATGACAGGCTCGCCACCAAAAATGGTTTGTCCGACATTATTAGCTACGAATGTCCTCATGTGCATTGCACATCCAACGATATGTGAAGCATATCATGATGTCGCCTTATCAACGTTGTTTTCAAACTGTGTTTATAATCTGCGAAAACGATTCTGCGAAACGCGAGCGACATTACTTCTCGGAGTTGCGTTTGCAAGTGTACGGATATCGTCTGTAAAAAGTAAATGTCTATCGTTTTAGTGGTAAGCGTGGTAAATTTGTGCAGAGGATGCCAGGATTTTGTTAGTGAGATATATTCGTTTTGTTGGAGCGACAATTTTTTTCCAGAAAATTGTTTCGCACATATGAACATAGTTTTGAGATTCGCGCTCTGATATATGACAGCATTAGTATATAACACTTTAGGGTCACGCTCAATATTCGTACTTCCGTTGTTAGACTCTTCGAGAATTTTTGATATTTAAGTCATGTTGGGAGCGCAAAGTCTATCAGTCGGCACGTTCACATTCTCGCTGTAAGGCGCAGAAAGCCGATTTCATGGCTGAGAGTTTGTAGAGTAGCCATTTTTGTCATTGGTGTGGTATTTTTTAAGACGGTAAGAGGGATGTCAAAGAAAAAGCGTAATCAGACAGGGGCTTGTAATCCTTCAAATTATAGTTGGTCATCCAGCCCCTCAACTGCAGCCGCCGCATTTTGCATTAGGGAACACCTATTCTTCATCTTTTGCTGCTGTTAAAAACGACATTTACAGTCGCTTATTTTCCTTCGGAGAGGCGCACATTCTACAACTAAATGTTGGGAAACATCCTTCTTTCAGTTTTGTATTTCTGATATGTACAGTTTGGACACGGAAACACTATTGTTCACATACAAGCTAAATCTACGAAATATTGCAAACTATCATAATATCATAATTAATAGATTGTGCAAGAACAGTGAACGTTTTGCGAATTCTCACTTTGACTTGCTATAACCTTCCGACACTTCTCAGTGAAAACGACCGTCGGAGGAAGCAAACCTTCTTGAAAACAGCGCACATCCACCTACACTCATACCACAAGCGGGGAGGAAATTATGGTTCGATAAGAAAAAGTTGTTTTCTGAAACCTCGTTTTGACAGACCATTCCTCCAAACTTTTAGTTTGAATGATAAGTAGCCTATGTTGTAGTCAGGGTTCGACACGAGGTGGCTTCCTAAAATTGTAAAAAACGAAGTCTCCTTTGCTTTCACAAATAAAGGTACGACATCCGCTATGAGATGTTAGAAGAGAAAATACATGAGAAGGAACGAAACAAAGCAGAACAAAAAAACGCCAAAAAGCATCAAAGAAAGGCAATAATATTCGTATTCTCCTAATTGGCAGCATGATGTATCCAGCGAGCAGCACTACGCACCTGGAGCAGCGTTGCCGGTTTCCAAAATTTTCAAGGGCTGTAACTAGGGGGAGGATGGGGTTTGAGGCGGTTGAAGCGGTTTAGGAACCAATTTGTAGGGTTTGGAATCTAGATGAAATTTATGTAAAGAAAGTAGAAAAATCATGTGAAGGAGGAAAAATCTATGACTTTTTCTTTTCCAAGCCACCTCAGGTGGCTTCCAAATGGCTTTGAAGCCCTCGAACTCGAAAAAAGTTGAGCACGCCTTCAGTGCATACAATTTTTCCATAATTTTTCATATTTAGTCCTAACTCCCATTGCCCATCTACACACCTATTTTGGTGCCATTTTACCTTCACTTCGCTGTAAACAAGCCTTTTATTTGTTTGGAGAGCATGCTGCCGGCATGCCGGCAGTGCGCCGGCGGCAGATTGAAAGACAGCGGTATGCTCTTCCTCGAAAACGATATTCTCTTTGCTTCCCCCCCCCCCCCTTCCCCAAAAACGTGTTTAGCTTGCTTGGTAAGCCAAATGTGCCGTGCCCTTGTTGGTTGGTTGTACCCGCAAGACAGTTGTACAAAATTTAAAAATGTCATGGATAAATAAGATTTACAGAAGAAAAAATAAAATAAGATTGCAGCTTTTCTCAACATTTTTTTCATGGGCCTCAAAGTCCCAATTTATGAGTTTTAATTTTCTGCGTACTGAACGGCCAAATGTTTTTACAAGAGCTGTCAACAGAATGACTTTACGCTTACAGAAATGAGCAAAGCTTTGGCGATTGCTTTCTTTACAAGAGACTCATAAGCAGAATTAGCAAAACGATTACCCGTGTGAGGCGCCGATAATTTATTCTGGATAATTTTTTTAAAAGTGCGAATGTGCATAAGTAGAGCATTTTCGCTCCATACAGGTCTAAATTTGCAGAAAAGCCCTCAATCGCGCTCAAGTTCTGACCAGAAAAGTGAATGCTGTAGAATGAATGCTCTTCAAGGGCGTTCGTTTGAAGTTTTTGTCATTTTAACAAATGAGGCTAGAAGCTCGATTTGGATCATCACCAGGTGGATCATGAAGAGAGCTTATCATTAGCATGTTAGGCCTTTTCCAAAGAATAAAGTTCAATGGAAAAAATTGAATTAAGGCATAGAAAAACGCCCATTAGTCTTGCACAACCTAATATCATATCACTAAACAAACTATCACAAAGATCAACGCGTAGATCATAAGAAGTTCATTACGTCAGTGCTTCAGACAGCAGAAAATAAGAATTTTATTGTACCTCAGTTTCCAAGGATGCACATGAGGCCAAAAATTTCCTAGAGTTGTCGAATTTTTTCAAACCTTTCAATTCTTTGAAACCCTAAGAACAACAGAGTACATATCTAAAGGATAGTGTCTAAATCCATTTCAATAAAATCATGGAAGAGAAGAAGCACGAGAAGAAGCAGAGAAAAAAATGTCGCAAATTTGCTGGCTTTATGTGCATTTGCAGCATTCATCATACTGTTGAGTGAATTCTGTCAATTAAGTTGCTTGAGTGATTTAGCCAACACCAGGATTATTATAGCATTTATTCTGCTAACGTTTTGGCCTAGTAGCTTTTGCCAGAGCCTATAAAGTGGGGAACATTGAGAATCAACTGGCCAAACATCTCATCACATGCAGGAAAAGTCTAAGAATTGTTAAGACTCCCGTTAAGGTCATAACAATTATGACTAAATATGTTAAGTGTAACTAATGAATCCTGCCCTATGTATTAGATTTCTTGTTTTCAAACATTCGTCTATCCTAGAGTTATTTCATTGCAGAAGTTCGAGGAGTCATTGATAAGTTCAATTCAAAACTTCGTGTACTATGGGAAAAGAGGTAATTCAAGTGTTGTTCGCATCTTCAAAGTAGCAAATAGGTATGGGTGAGTGAGACCAACCGTTTGTGTCTATCTCAAATCTCGTCACTTGATTGTTCTTAGGTGTCAGTACATGAGAAAGTTAGTAAATTCAATGATCGAGAACATCGTTAGTAATAATGACGATAGCCCACAAAAAACATGTCAGGTAATATATGTTTGGCAAAGATATCGACCATTTTTCGAATATTCCTTTTCAGATGTTTGACGAGAGAAAAAACTTTTTTTGCACACCGCACTATGAACCATATGTTGCTTGGGGAGACTATTATATAAAGCCTGTAGTATTTTGCTCGTTTAGCGTTCGCTAACACGGCTACGCATCTTCGTCTTCATTTTGTTCGTTCAAGTTGGACACTTTACATTTTCTCGGGATAAACAAGCTATTAGCATAAGCTTACGTTATCCTGTCTGAACAAAGTCTGCACGTTTAAGCTATGAAAACTTATGGTTACTGAGAAAAAACCAAGCAAAAGCTTTTCAAGGAAACTCTTAAACATATCAGACTTTGCTCAGCACTAGAAAAAGAGGGTAGAACGTATGTAATGTCTTTCATTTCACTGCAAAGTTTTGAAGTTCGTGATCATGTTTGGTGCTTATCACAGAATAATAAACTGCTTAAGTATCGAATATTGTTGTGCCGAACAGGTTGTTAGGTGGTCCTTTTATTGTCAGTACTTTTCGGCCTTACGTTTCGACGCTTTCGTCTTCATCAGAGGCCTGGAATGGTTCAAAGCTTCACCCGTAACTCCAGCCCATCAAACGTCTCTACCAGCCCCTGCCAGTTTTCGGCGCTTCCCCCAATCTAGTGCTATAAGAATTGTGATGGCAAAAGACATACCAGGGAACCACCGCTTCGTTAGATGTCCGTGCCGGATGTAGATGTTCGCGACGGACGACTGAGCTACACTGAGGGATGTCACATAAACAGTTATAGCTCACATAATGATAAAAACGGAAGGAATCAGCGGTTATGGATAAGCACTCGTTTTTGTTGTTCATTTCTGGATTCTTTGCAGAAATCCAGAACGATTCTAAGGCTTTCCTAGCCGAGATCTCTTTTTCAAGTGTTAGAATTGTGACCTTGATATCAAAGTCATCTCCACCATGCAATTCGTGCCTATGTCTGCCAAGCGGCGAAGCCAAGTTCTTACGCCTTTTGTCTGACAAATGCTCTTTGATGCGAATGCCGAGTGTTCTTCGTGTTTCCCCAATATAGCGTGCATTATATTTCAAACATTCAAACTGATACACCACTCCCATCTTTGCGCAGTCACCCATTCTGCCGTGCGGGCATATCGTTATCGTTATCATATCATATCATAAAAAAAATAAATTGCTTTTTCAATTTTTGTCTCTACGAGCTGTATATAATGGACGCCATCTACACGTTTGGAGGCTACATAATTTCAACTTTACAATGCAGTTGATTACGGGCAATGGAGCGAACGAACTCACAGGTCAAAAGTAAAAAATTACACTCATCTTTTTTTGATAGTTAATTGAAAATTACTCATTCGCTTTACGAGAATAACGCATGGAAGTGAGAAATACGACGTGGACGAAGAATTAGCCATGGGAATCACGATACATCAGTTGAATTCGTGATGTTGGAGCAGAATTCCATTCAGGCTAACACGGGAATGATCAGAAGTCGAAGTGGCCAATTTAAACAGGCAGTATACCATCAGATGCAACCAAAAGAAATTTATGGCCAAAAAAATGATCGCAACGGCTATCCATGTTGAGGCGCCGATATCCCAGTCTGGACAACTTCAAAAAATACAGTTAAGTTGCGGACGATGTAGACAATAAATATTACATACAATAGCTAAATTTTCGAAGAAGCGCTTTATACGAGCTCAAACACTGGCCAGAAAAGTGAATGCAATAGAATTCTGAATTTGGATGCGGTTATATGAAGCACGGCAAATTCATAACAGATGAGGTTGGAAGCCCGCTTCTCACCACTAGATAGAGCGTAAATACAGCTTTTTAAGGGGTGCATATATTTCAAAAAGGAAATGTTGGGAAAAAGCTGCCATGAAAAAAGGCTTGGAAAATCGGCTATTATCTTTGCATCAACCTAATACAATCTTATGCGCAAAAGTATTGACTAGACATAGCAATATTACAGATTCTGAGATCAAGGGAAGGCTGGTAGAATTGTATAGTTTTTGAGCGAGATCGGTATCATTGCCCAGTAGAAAGAATAGTATCACATTGATACTATTTCTCAAACTGGAGGTAGAAGATAACCACTGTTGATGTTTGAGTAACAGCCAAAGCAAGGCAGAGTAGAATAGTTATAATCACAATCACATGATAGCAGAAAAACATTGCTTGAGATGCAGAGGCGAGATTGAAAGAGCGCACGACAGTAATGTTGAGCTATGCTACTGCACCCCATACTCAATTCAATGACAAGCTACGAAATAGCAAGCATGGCATGCGGTTCCGACGCGCCAATTTTGCAATACAATGATATGCAATAATCTGATGCTGCGTGTGGTGCCCGTGCCAGCCCTGTTCCAGTTTGTGCCAGTGCCGTGCTGTAACTGTGCCGGCCAATCGATACGCGGCGCGTCCACGTTGGATACGGCGCTAACACCGCTCCGGCACATGCGCAAGTCTGTACAACTCGCAACCTTGTAGGTAAAATTTTCCATAGTATTTGCATTCACTGACACTGCACTCTTTGGTTGCAATAAAGCAAATTCGTATTGATACAGTCGAGTAGATTTCCTGCTTAATATAGTGTCCCTGCAGACGCGACAACGCTGGGGCGTCAATAATTGCCTGACGAGTTTCCGAGCTAGTGTTTTTCAGTGTTTTCTTTGCTTATTCTATGCTTTCTAGGTGAATCGTTGCTGATAAAGAAGAAAAGGTTAAGTTAAAGAGTAGTTTCTGTTTTCTGAAAGTTTTATCATCGCGTATTCACAGATATTCACGTGGAAGCTGTTCGCGTCAGCTTCTTGTTTATTTTTTGTCACTTCATGTCTCTTTCTTCTTGTGAGATACTTCTTTAAACGCTGTGGGTTTTTACGATTGACTTATTGTCTTTATCACATGAAATACTTGATTAAAATGCTATTTCTTATGGATAAAATCCGAAGTTGCTGCAAGACAAGCCAACTAGCGTTCAAAGAAACGCCTCACAAGAAGCAGGAGGTTTGAAAGAAGAAGTGACAGAAGAAAAGGGAATGACAAAAAAAATAGACAAGAAGCTGACGCGAAATGCTTCCACGTGTATATTTGTGAATATGCGATGTGAATATGCGATGAAAGAACTTCTCAGAAAACAGAAGCTACTCTTTAACTTACCCTTTTCTTTATCAACAACGAATCAACTAAAAAGCATGGAATAAGCAAAGAAAACATTGGAAAACACTGGCTGGGAAACTCGCAAGGCATTTATTGACGCCCCAGCGTTGTCGCGTCTGCAGGGACACTATATTGAGCAGGAAATCTACTCGACTGTAAATACTCTTCGGAAGGCTGAGATCCTCAGTTTTTTTTCGATCTTGCAGGAAGTCTTCAAATGTCTCTTGAGATAGCTGCGTAGAGCAAAGTGTCATACACAGTCTCTGCACAAGTACTTCTTCTCACCCGTAATATCATAAACGTAGACAATGCAAGTTTAACTGATGGAAATGCTCCAAGAGTATGTATAAGAACATGAATGAATTTAAAGAGGAACCAACAGCACAGAGGTGATTTTGAAGCCCAAAGTTAATGGTTCCAAAGCCTATTTCGAATCTTTTGAAGCGTATGAGCTCGGCCTACCGAAAACTTGAGAATATTCGTAAAAAAATGATGGATCCCATCTGTATGAATATTAGGGGTGTATCACTGCTCTACCATAAATCTGATCGAAGTCACAGACAATTCTAACCATTAAATTTCGATTTCGAATTTCACTAGAAATCCTACACAATCGCATTGTTCAGCTCAAAAAGTTCTCAAATTTATGACCAAACTTGTATCATGCAGATTGGCCTACGAAAATCATACTTTCGCTAGAAAGCCCTTAAAGCATCCTACATTCTTGTCCGTGACCCCAATATCATCAACAAGAGTGAACAATAATCTAACTGGAGTTCTATTGCTGAACCTGACATATTGCAGACTATAGATCATTTGCTCTATTTAAGCAGTACTTGACACCGCGACTGCTTATTCGCAACAACGCAGTCATTCGACACGCTTGTCTATTCTCAACATCGCATTCGGTTCAAACAGATCTGAAGCAGCTCATACTGCTACAAATTACGTTGACACATTCTGGCAGTCAAACTCTGTTCGCAGACTCCCAGCTTCCACTGAAGACCATTCGAATGGTCGGTGGGAGGAATGTTTGGCGGCCAAAATCGTGGATCAAAATGACTGTCTCTTTTAAGCCTCTGGCGACGGCATTGTGCCTAAACGTTAGGCAATAAAGTGTCACCTATAACAACTAGTACGGCAGAAGAAAAGTATTGATTAGTTCTCAGTAAGCGTTTCCAAGAGTGTTATCCGTTTATTGGTACAACGACACCGTAAACAGATCGTTTCGGCGGAAGTCGCCTTTGTCAAGACTGGAAAAAAGTCAATAAATTCGGCGCTCCAGGGGTAGACATACCTTCAGCAATACACTTCAAGGGCTGTCCACTACTCTGGAACTTAATCAGGTCATTATATGCTAACTCTTGTGACGGAGTGAACTTCACTTTTAAGGTCAGACTCAAATCCACACAATGATAAAAATGGGACGAGCTCACTACTGATAGCCATTTTTCTTCCTTTCTGTTCAGTTTAGGACATTTGAACGTAATCCAATTTTCATACTAAAATATCGGTTTCTTTTGAAAGAATAGCAATGTCAATTTGAAGCTTTATATTCTGATGGCACAGTACACGATGTGCGCCCAGAGGCGTAGTCACTCGCGATTTTCTCATTTTTTCGTCTAAATGTTCGTTAATTCTTACACATAAAGGTCTTCCTGTTTCTCGAATATATTGTTCCCCACACAATTCATAAGATATCAAGTACACAACGCCGCGACACTTGCAGTCTCCCGGTTTGTTAGAATTGCATATATTGCAGTGTGTTTTCGAACAGGCTGGATCGCCACTTTTGTTACGCACCACGCGCTGCTGAGGTTTGAGGATGGGACTTCAACAAGTTTTAGCATATCTTGCAGGCTCGCTTTATGAACGCAGATTCTAATCGCAGCGCTTAACTTATCAGATATCAATGGCATAAGGAGTGACACCTTTTCACTGTTGACATCATTGGAACCTTAGCGTTATCCTTACAACGAGCGTTTGTGTTCTTGTTTTCCGGCAGCAATTAACCGTATTCTTGCGCTAGGATTCTAGAGCGCCTTCTAGAATACACTCTTTTAGACATTTGCAGCATATTTCTGATAATTCTGAGTTTCATTTG